AGCGGCAAGAAGGAAATGGAAGATGAGGAGACAGCAGAGTTTCTGTGGCAGGCTAAGTTGGCAAAGGGCGATTACCACGCAGCAATGACCGACTCGATGTTCATGGAGTGGCTTGAACACCGCCTTAGCCCTGCGTACAACGCGATCCCGGAGTTCAAAGGCAAACGGATGATTCTTGTTCTTGACAACGCCTCATACCACCATGGATTTGACGCGGAAGTCAAAGTGCCGGAAACCAACACCAAGAAGCACAACGTCGATCTGTTGCGTATGTTTGGGGCCAAGTCGATCAGGGTTAGGCGTAAGGAGGGCGAACAGGGCGTTGTTGAGTACAACTTCGAGGTACCGACAGAGCCTGGTTCTTCATTCCCTGCAGGGAACAGGGAGGGCGGTGTAAGCAGAGCGGAGGTAGCAACGGCCACTCGGGAGTACATCCACCTCAATCACCCTGAAAGGCTCGAGGAACGTGTGGTGACGTTGATGAGGAAAAAGGGGTGGGCGTTGATTTGGACGCCGCCCTACATGCCGTCCTTTCAACCGATCGAGCTTTTTTGGCAGCATGGTAAGCAGTAGGTCAGCCTTCACTTTGAGTTGAAGCGAAAGATGCGGGAGGTGTGGGTGCAGATTCGTAAAGGTTGGTACGGGGACAAGGAATGGCCAGGCCAGGAGGGGGGGTGGAAGGCAGCCGATTGTTCGAAGCTGGTTGACCACGCCATTGGAGAGATGAATAAGTGGGTCAAGGACCGTGATGGAGTGCTTTCTGGTACGATAGGCAGCCTCGAAAAGCCGGACGGGTACGATACAGATGATGTGTCGCCCGTGGGTGATGTCGAGGAAGGGGTAGGGGAGCAGATCCAGCAGGAAAGCGCAGAATGGGGTGATGGCAGCGACGAGGTTGAACCATGATGAGATTTTTTCAGCCTTGTGATCAATTGCTACACCCATGCACTGGGTGTACCATGTTCCAACAGCACACATATGTGATTGTTGTGCGCGGGGGGTTGCGTCCCTGCTTCCAGCTGCTGCAGTTGTTGGAAAAAAAAATAAAAAATATTCGATTGTCTAAAGTCTTACCCCGGATGCAGCTTACCACACGTCAACTGCATTCATGTTCTATCTTCTTGCGTATTGACCGCCTTCGTCATGGAAGCATTTTGCGCTACTGTATGCCGACAGGCGCTTAAAAATGTGAAGTTGCAGGCCGAGAAGTGGGGATACCAATGTTGGCCGCATGTTGCTGGGCATTTTTTCCGATTTTGAATCTCTGCACAGGTACACGACAAAAGCCATAACTCAAGCAATTTGAATATTTTTTTTTGATGTTTTATTTCATCGTGACCGCCTTTTCCCTGTCGTCAATTTGCGCTATCGTCTGCTGTGCTGCGCATCGTATTGCGAAAGTTACAATCCGAAACGCATATATTTTACATTGCTCCTATTAATAATAATTATGTGCCTCCGTAATATTTGTGTAATTGCGCTACGCCTTTGCTCTGGCGACATCGTGGGTGAGAGGGTTCTCTCGAGAAGCCTTGCGCTAAGAGCGTTAACCGTCTGGCTGTGAGGCAACCTGTATCTGCAGTACCCGCCCTACCCCCAGCATGTTAGTCGGTTCAAGTAGTTCGCTGTTGTGGATATATGTTTGGTCTCGTCGGGGTTGTTGTTCAAGTACTGGTAATGTGTGTCGTACGTAGGCGCCCTCTTTTTTTTAAATTGTTGTGGGTCTCCGTCCCGGCTGTTGTGTCTACCGTTCTGTGTGTGGTACGTAAGGCGTGGAGACAGCGCCCGGCATGGTGGCGACGCTGCTCGAGCTGGGCGCCGACGTGAACAGGGACGATGGGGACCCCGAGGTCCGGTACACTCCTTTACACAGCGCCGTCGCCAACGAGGTAAATTTAGTGGTCAACTTGGGGGTCTAGGGTTACTTCGTTGATATAGCTAATCAGGTTGGATAAAGAATGCAATCGGGGGAAGTTGGGTTAGGGATAGGGTCTTCGTTCCTCCACCCTGTTTCATCTCGTCACAAACTTCATTTCTCACGAAGGTGGTTTGGTCCAGAAGAACTGGTAATGGTGGCGGTGGCGGTGACTGTGTTTTTCTGGGTGATGGGGTGTCATGTTGTCATCGTCGTTGCTGCTGTGAAGTGTGTTGGTAGGATCGGGTCGGGAATGAGTTGAGGTTGCCCATGTCAAGCTGGAGGTTGGCCCTCTAGTCTACTCATGGGCGTGAAGTAACGACTCTTTGTTACACGCTCGTACCAGCAACAACGACTGCAGGTCACACACGCTCTTGCTAGCAACAGCGGCTGCATGTCACACGCTCTTGCCTTCCGTTCTCTCTCGCTTTCTTCCTCTCGTCGCTCTCTGGTTGAGGTCATGCTCGCGTCAGCTGATTTGTCCGCCCCAGCGAAAGCATTTGCTTCAACAAAACTATGCATTTGTCTCACGTCTCTCCCCCCATCCCAACCCCCACCCCCTTCAGGCCCCCGGCCTTGTGCGGACCGTTCTCCAGCACGGCGCTCGTGTCAACACGCCACGGGGAGACCGGCGGATCCCCCTGCACACGGCCATGCGCCTGCCCCCCGGGCAAAAGAAGCTGTCCATCATAGCCACGCTCCTGGTGGTTGGCGCAGACATTAACCGCCCAAGTCAGAGCGAGTCATCTGCCGCTCGTTTTGTTGGTATTGCGTTGGGTAGGGTTCTGGGTTGGCGCGATATTGGTTAAGAGAAAGCTATCCGTCGCTGTATTGTTAGTTTTTCTCTGGGTTGGGGTTCAAGGCTGGGGTTGCCGCGGACAATGACTGCCCAAGTCAGAGAGACTCTGCTAGAACGCCCGCGTGCAGTGCGCGTTGAACGTGGCTCGAAAAGAAAACCACCGCCTCGACAACAACAGACCGCGGCAACAGCTTTGGTTTCGATCTCGGCGTGCTGGATAACGAACGGGCTCATGTTGGAAGGTTTTTTATTGTGGCCACGGCTGGCTTTCGGACTGGCTTTTGCTGCCTCTGTATTTTCCGCGTGATGAATACATAGCCCAAGCTTTTCGTTTATGATGCACAGGTCGTGTTGTCCCCGGAATGCTGCTTGACCCCCCCGCCCGCCCGCCTGCGGCACCCCTTGTTTTCTCAGAGCCGTTCCAGGGCAACACCCCCGTGCACATGGCGTGCTATGGGCGACCTCCGCACAGTCGAACTGCTCCTCGAGGTACCATATGCATGTGACCTCGTGCATGATTCACGGTAATATTTTTTTGTTTCGGGAAGGACGTACTGTACAATAGTAACAGAGCAACCGGAATAAGGCAGATACATCCATGCTGTTGATTTTGTGAGTTTTGAAAATGACGTGTGAGAACGTGCAACCGGAGTAAGGTAGCTACCTCTTTGCATGCGAGGATGACTCGAAGGCGGGCTGGGATGTGTCTATACTAACCCCCCCCTACATGAATCATCAATATGTTGAGGGTTGTGGCACCCTGCACCCCCGCTTACCGCCGCCCACCCCCCCC